CACCGGAAACTGCCCCGGCATGGCCAAGGCATCGTCATTNTCGTACGGGCTGTCGTACGGTACCGCCGCCAACGCTGCTACTGCCGCCGGGGATGACGCTGCCACGGAGACCTGCTCTACGCCGCAAACGCGCCCATCGCCGCTATTGCCAGGTCGCCAAAGCATGCTGCTACGGATTGGCAGTAGCGCACTGAGCAAGCTGTCGTTCCTTACCAGCGGACCCACCGACGTCGTCGTACCTGACTCTGGCCAGTCAATCACCGTCGCCGCACAGGCACGTCACTTCCCCGGCTCCTCAGCGGTGCCGTACGCGGCCGGGACCGCGGAGGCTTCCCCCGCCGTCGGGCCATCAGATTGTACGACCCTCGAAGACGACGCGGCGCTGGAGGTGGTTGTCGTCGGCGGTGCCGATGTGTCGCCTGGTAGCGGCGGCGGCGGCGGCGGCGGCGGTCGCGGCGGTGTGGGCTGTAACGGTACGGATGCGGCAGTATCTGTAAAGGCTGCCGCTGCCGGCCAGCGGCGGCAGCAGCTCCCGTCGCCGCCACTGCCGAAGCATATGCCATCACCCACCCCGCCGCCAGCGGCGGCGGCGGGGGCAGCGGCGGCACCGTCGCCGTTGCAGCGGCAGCACCCGCCAGAGCGCGAGTGCTGGCACGAGATTTGCGCTACAAGCGTCATCGACCTCGCTACGGGCGGCTTGGCGGTGGTGCTCGTCCAGCAGGACGTGACTGCCAAGGTGGTTGCGGAGCGGCACGTGCATCAGGTCGCTGAGGTGGAGCACCGGCTGCTGGAGCAGATCTTCCCGAGACACGGTACGGCAGGGGTATATGTTACAAGTTACAAGTTCCGCACAAGTACGGGGGTGTCCGTAAAAGCCGTGGGGCCCATATATATTTTGTGTGTGTGTGTGTGTGTGTGTGTGTGTGTGTGTGTGTGTGTGTGTGTGTGTGTGTGTGTGTGTGTGTGTATATATATATATGCGAGGCAGTGGAGGTGGAGGTGGAGGTAACAGGTGGTGGGCGCGCGGCATGGCTCTCCTTCTTAGGTGCGAGGGGTAGTAAGAGAGAGAGAGAGGGAAAGGGAAAGGGGTACAGCGCAAGAAAGAAAGACCTATACGCAATGGCGCATTGTGGCTCACAAAACGTTTTTACTTATTATATGTTGCAGCGGCCGCCGACCCACGGGACGGAAGGTAAACTGGATACACGAGGGTCCGCGGAGAACACGGGAGAGAAAAGATTCATCGAGAGGGGTATTCATCACCAAAATTGCAATCGGAACAAAACCCTATACACCGCCCATTGCCCCCCCCCTCTCTGCCCCCTTGCCCACTGCGCCCGGCGGCGGCTGCGGGGCCCCCAAACACCACCGGAATCATGCACGCACGCATGCATGGCGGTGACACCGACACCACTCCACGGCGGCGCTCCACGACTTTACGACGGCGGTTTTGATGACGGCGATGTCATGTACGACATGCAGTTCTGCAGTACATCACGGAGGAGTCCGTCGCGCCATCGGTTATGTCAACAGCTACTGGTCTCATGACTGGCGCCGGCTTCGGCTTCGGCGGCGGCGGCGGCGGCGATGGCGCTGCCTCGCCCGATGTGGGGCAGCACGAGTCGCACTCCCAGCTAGGCTACAGCCCGCTGAGTGCCAGCAACTGGCGGCCGCAGATTCGTGATTGCAACCGCCTGGCCACGTGGCATCCCAAGGTGTGTGTGTGTGTGGTGCGTGCGTGCGTGAGTGTATGTGTGTGTGCCCTTTCGGGGAAAGGCCTATGTCGTACGGCGATGTTGTTGCACGGCATCAATGCGCATCAATATTTTCGCTCTCTTCAACTGGGTGGTGGTGGTGGTGATGGTGGTGAGGGTGAGGGAGCACATCATTCCTCCCCCTCCCCCTCCCCCTCCC